AAACCCTTAAACCCTTAAACCCTTACACCCTAAACCCTAAACCCTAAACCCTAAAGGGCTTGGGGCTTCGGGTCTAGGACTAAGGCCTTCGGGCCTAGGGCTCAGGGTTTAGCGGTTTGCACCACTTGGGTTTAGGGTTTAGGGTCTAGGGTTTAGGGTTTAGGGTTTAGGGTTTAGGGTTTAGGGTTTAGGGTTTAGGGCTTAGCGGTTTGCACCACTTGTGCCTGCACCACCTCATTCGCCATGGCGCCTCCGTTTCCAGGCCTATGAAGACTCTGCAACCGCGCTTGGGCCTCAACTTAGCTGCAGTTGAAACCATCGCTGAGCCGTGTCGTTCCTGGCATTTGCTACAGATGCCCCGATAAGATTAAACTCTAAAAACCGTCAACCCCGACACCTGGGCGACAGAAAGGCACCTGCGTTTTTTTGAAAGCTCAATCCCCACACGCAGAGCCCTAAACCCTCAAGCCTGACACATACTGAACACGGCCTTCTGCGGTATGGCGGGCCTTCGCAGTGGATCCTCTGCAAGGTTGATGGGAGGTTCAGGGTTTAGGGTATAGCGCTCTTGATCTAGTTACCTCAAGAAGTAAAATAGGGTGGTGGAATACATTATGGTATAATATAACTGGCTTATGTAAACCCTGATCATAGCCGTTTTGGTAACTCTTAAAAGAAGCCTAGTACTTGTTTGGGCTTCGATATTCATCCAAGTTCCAGGTGGTAGTAATTACTCATGATGTTCTAGTCCTGGACCCAGACGTAATGGGCTCGATACGGCTGTCCAGGCTTTGTAGATTCTTTTGGGTTTAGGGTTTGGGGCTTCAGGTAAACCCTAAACTCCCTACGCCCTAAACTTAAGGAACATCCTAAACCCTACACTTAAGGAAAACCCTAGCAACACTTAAGGTAAACCCAAAGCCCTAAATTTAAGGTAAACCCGAAAACCCTAAACTTAAGGTAAACCCCAAGCCCTAAACTTATAAGGTAAACCATGGTAAACCCTAAACCCCAAACCGTAGGATTTAGGGTTCCGGAGTCCTGGCGAAGCATTCTGGCGTCCAGGCTTCCCGTGTCAGGGCCTCGTCAGCTTCAAGTTCTCAAGCTTCGGGTTTAGGGGCTTAGGGCTTAGGCTTTAGGGCTTAGGGTTTAGGGTTTAGGGGCTTTGGGCTTAGGGTTTAAGGTTTAGGGCTTAGGGTTTAGGGGCTTAGGGCTTGGGGTTTTGGGGCTTAGGGCTTAGGGTTTTAGGTTTGAGGGCTCAGGGTTTACTGTAAGGTTATTTTTTTGAACTCCTTTTTGGGCCTGCCCGATCATCTCAAGCAATGCCAAGGCACGTATGCATACTGTAAGGTTTAGGTTTTAGGGTTTACTGTAGGGTTTAGGGTTTAGGGCTTAGGGTTCACTGTAGGGTGGCTTAGGGTTTACTGTAGGGTTTAGGGTTTAGGGCTTAGGTTTCACTGTATGGTTTAGGCTTTTGGGCGTAGGGTTTACTGCAGGGGTTTACTGCAGGGTGTAGGGTTTTGGGCTTAGGTTTCTTCCTCTTCCCGGGAAAGGCGCTCGGCGTGTGCTTGACAAGTACGGTTATGTAAGGGCTGTACGAGAATTACCAAATTGTTCATGCCTCGATCTTACATGACTTGGGTGATGAAAGGAACAGGCGGTTCCACATGGGTTTAAGACATAGGAACGTTTCCGATAATAGGGACCCAAATATAGAACCTTAAAAAAGCTACATAATAAAACCGCGATCATAGGAACCCCAAATGGGTAGTTGTCAAAATTATGGTCCCTTTTGGGGTACCCTAAATAATAGGTGCCGTATTATAATAAGGACCCAAAAAGGGACTATAATTTTGATAACCACCCAAATGTAAGGTACATCGAAGTTTCAGACAGCCCCTTCTAAAACCAATTCAACCCGTTTGCAGAAGTCCCGAGACCGGTCCTTCCAGATTCTTGGGCGCCGCAGGAAGCCGGTGGTACTTCAAGGCTCTGTACAGGTCTACCCTAAACCCTAAAGCCTAAACTCTGTTGATGATATAAATCCCGCATTACCTTAAGGTCCCTAAACTATGGGAATTGCGCTATACTCCTTATTATGGGTAGTGCAGGATTTATATCATCAACCGTATGGGCTACGGCTGAGTGTTCGGTACTTCAAGGCAAGGGCCTTGCACGCTGGTCTGAGGTAAGGTCTTTACCAATCACCTTCCCCCTTAATAGGACGTAGTGTAGGGTTTAGGGATTAAGGTTTCGAGTTTAGGGTAACAGGACCTCCCAAACATGCACATCAATGTCCAAGAAAAGCCCCATCAACCTCACCGAAACCATAACACAAACCTTACTTCACATGAAACCCCTCACTAAGTCTTTAACCCGCTGAAGCGACATGTGGCGCCTTGGGGCCTTGGGCCTAGGGCTGAAACAAGGGTTCCAGCGAAATTGTGTAAGGATCTCATAGGGGATTTTTCCAGCCTTACAAGAATTCTAATTATGGGGTTCTCATACGGCCCGTTTTCGAACCCTAAACCCTAAACCCTGAACCGTTTAGTCCTCAACGTCGGCTGAGGGTTGTGCTCAGATCTCAGGATTTTGGAGCCCGGGGCTTCGGGTTTTGGTTGGATCGTTAGGGCCTTTCGGTGGTTTAGGGTTTAGGCTTTTGGGTTTGGGGTTTAGGGTTTTGGGTTTGGGGTTTGGGTTTGGTTCCCCTCCCCTCCCCCCCCCCGGATCCTGTAAGTAGAATGACATGTCTGAGCTGAACAAAGCTGCAGCTCGCTGCCTTTAAAACAAGACACCGACATGCGTGAAGCATACAGAGAAGTACCATGACAGCAAGGTGGAAAAACTCAGAGTGCCCGAACCTCGGCTAGGGGAGGGGTTGAGGGGCGAGGGTTTAGGGGCTGTAAGGTCTAAGGTTTTAAGTTTAGGGTTTAGGGTTTAGGGGCTTAGGGTTTAGGGATTCAGAGTATATTGCTCGAGAAGGTGGCATTGATTTCTTTCACGACACCGTTGTCCGAAATGATTTCGGTTGATGAAGCTGAAGCAACAACAGCTGTCATGCAGGGGCTTTGGGGTACATTAGGGTATAGTTACGATAAGAAACGCTAGCAACATGCTGCAAGTTATTCCGGTCTATGTACCCCTAAGCACAACATCCTAAATTGATATACCGGTAGCAGCCCTTGTAGAAGCCCTTACCTGTGACCCGAGAGGAGCTCGAGCATCTGACTTTTTGCTGCCACATGTGCTGTCGCCTCTACAGCACGACGGAGTGAACAGACGCCCTGGATTTGGGGGTTGAGGGCTCAGGAAGCGGCGATGGGGTCTGCTCTGTTTACCCCGATTTAAGTGATCAGAGGCGATCTCTGAGGTCCCAGACCTGGCACTCGGCCGCTGCTACCTCGCACTGGCACCTCTTAAAACCCAACCCTTCCGGCAAGCTGAAACTCGGATGCGGTGCCCTTCCGGGGGCCGATTTTTAAAAACGAGGCCGCTGCGCCCCAAGAGCCCCGAGAGACGAAGCGCCGAAATCCCAAACAGAAGAGCAAAACCGGTGCCGGCTCTCCGAGACTGCGGCGTCCACTTCTTGGGCCCCGCCTTGCCTTTGCCTTTGGGCCACGGTGAGCCGGGAGATGGGGGGCCATGCTTCAAAAACTGCATGGGGCTCGCACTGGCCTGCTTTCCCTAAGGGCTACTACCTTTTGAGGCCTTTGAGGCCGAGATCATCCAGCTGCAGATCTTCATTGCTTCACCGGCTTCCTGAATCTTGGGCTTCCCTCATGACGGCTTCTTGGTGCAACGTCTCGGGGCCCTAGATGACCGGCGCCAAAGATCAGACGGCAAGGGAAGCGCGGACCAGTCGGATTCAAGAAAGCTCTCATCCAGCTTCTCAGTTCTACGGGCTCAGGGCTCGCAACGCACAAGCCAACATGGCTATCCCCTAAACCCGAAACCCTAAACCCTGCGCCCGAAACCTAGGACCTAAACTGGCTCAAGCCGAAGAAACGAAGCTGAGAGCTTTTGGCCCGGGCCCAGCGACAGCTCTAGTCCCCGGCTCCAGCTTGCGTCTGGGAACTTCTCAAGTCAAGATGCCATGTTCGGGGCTACGGGGTCCCGGCCCCTGTTGGGGCTGCTCTTAACGTAATGGTCAACGACCACGCAGATGGGCCGAGAAGCATGGGAAGAGAGGGCTTGGGACTGGGAGTGTGGGGGCTTGGCATTCGAAGGATCAACATCTCAACTCCTTTGCTATGGCTCCCCAAGGAGCTAAGAAGAAAGGAGTCTAGGCATTGCGGATGAAACTCCCATAAACTGCCACCTCGTGCTGGTAAACCACTCTCGAACTGCCGAGACTTGGCTGGCACGTCACATACTGAAGCTTGCTTCAACCTAAACCTTAACCGCACGTGCAAAAGCGATACCAGAGCAGGATGACCTAGCTATTTTGGGTAACGGAGCCTGTAGCTTTGCAAAGGACCAGCATAGGCCCTACATTTTGGGGAACCAAGCTTGCGAGCAGAAGCATTCGACCACGTGCTCCCGAGACGTCTTGCAAGCAGCTTCCGTGGAGAGCGTGGGACACATTGCAGCATCATGATGCTCCCTGCATGCCTTTGGGGCTCGTGCGGCGTTGCAAGATTGAAGAACTCAAACTTCTCTTCCAAGATGCTCTGCTTCAGCACACGAAAAGCCATGCGTCAACCCAAAAGGTTGGGGACCTCTTAGGATGACTTGGGAACCGCAGACGCACCACAGTTTGCACAAGGTCGCGCAGGCGATGAGATTTGCGCGCCGACAGCTTAGTCTGGGTTGCCAGAATAGGGATCTGAATCCATAGCAAGTAATAGGGCTGCCTTGTTATGGCGACTTAAACTAAGCTCCTCAAGAAGACTCCATGAATTGCTCTGCCCGGCCTGCATCCTCTGCCAGATCCTTTGAATCTAAAGGGGCGGCACTCTTCTCCCCCTCGGACGTCATGGTACGGTTAAGGTTTAAACGGCCTTGGAGGAAAAGAGGTCCTTGCAGCTGAGGCTTTGCGAGCTGAGGCCCTTGAACTCGAAGCACCCTAGCCTGAAGCCCTAAACCCCAAACCCCAAACCCTTAACCTTGAGCCCTAAACCCTGGACCCCAAACCCTCAACCTTAAGCCCTAAACCCTACAGCAGCCTAGCAAGAAGAGGAGCTCCCCGTGTTGCAGCACACGTAAGGGCCCATCTCCACTCCGAAAGCTTCTGTTTAGGGTTGTT